ATTTGCTCTTCATGTGCGAGACAGTCCACAGAAGTGCCACTGGCCGGCTGGGGATCGATAGTATACCGGGGGTAGTACCGATCGGAAACAAGCTAGTTTTTCATTTCAAACTTTGAATGAAACTATTTTAATTTGTTGTTAAAATCTTTCCAGTCTCTAGACGTTACATTCAGATGATATTCAACTTTTTTTTTTTACTTTTTCGCAACTTCACAAACCAAGTTGCGATGGTACCCCTGTTAGCCCTAAAGATTGCGTACTCGGTAATCTGAACGTAACACATGGCCACTTTCCTTTTAGCGATTCGCAAGTAGCTATTGTCTTTTTGCTGAGACAGTCTGATGGACATGTTGGTGGTCGTTATACAAAGGTTAAAGTGTGAATAGGTCTACAATAGGGTGGTCGCTGGTCGCGTTGGACAGGTGGTCGCTATATCCAGTGTCTTTAACGTGTAAATTGCGAAGGGACTGTACTGAGGTGGTCGCTATGAGCAGGTGGTCATTAACACAGGTTTGACTGTAGTTCAATTTAACAAGATGTACAAAATAAATGCTTACGCATAAGCCCTCTCTTCCTCAATGCAATATTTATATGATGGTGTGATGCCAGCTACCTCGAAAGTAAATTTATTTTGACCATAGATTCACCTCAAAACCATTTAGTTTGTGGTAGCTATTAAGGCAATCTGATTATAATCTGATGTATTGTACAGGCTTTAATTATTGTGGCTATAAACTTATTTTAATTTTATTTTTTATTACTTTTGTTATTAATGCCCTTTTATTTTATTATTTTACTTTGATTTTGTGATTTTTTTTTTTAATTCTGCCCTACCTACATCTGAACGCCTATGTAAGTCCCGTTCAAATCTCGCATAAGTAACAGCCAATCACAGCCCCCCTTTTATACAGGCTGTCGGTTGCTTACTTTTCAGTGTATATGGGCAATCTTTCTGTACATTATATTTTGCCCACTTGAATAAACCATTAATAGAAAATTGCTAGTATATTTTTATTTGCAAAAGAAATTCCACAGCATTTTACAATTTTTGTCATTACATTGAATATTTTTTTCACTTCCAACAAATGTGTATACTTCCAGATACATCTTCGCCAGCCAAGGTTGGTTCATTCAGTCATCGCTTCAATTTTACATCACTGAGCATAATTATCTAGAATGGAAGCAAAAAAATAAGTAAATCGTAATGATTAGAACACTGTAAACAACTATAGTAAACAATGCAAACTGATTTTAAATTGTATAACGGTCACCGGCCCACGGCATTGACGCAGAAAATTGGAGCAAAAAAATATTTCCTGATCAATTGCGATGTGTTCCAATAAAAAATATTTTATTCCAGTCCAAATCAGCTCAATTACTTTAATAAAGAGTTATTGTATAATGTACAAAATGATGATACAATTTGATGAATAGTTACAGCTACGGTTTCAATACC